TTTTTTTACCAAAAATAATTTATTTTAATCGTTTAGCCTACATCACTAAACCTCTTCTTCCACTACGGAATTTTTTTTTTTAAGTGGATAAAGGAGGTAAGTAATAGAAAAGTTAAAATTTTAATAGTAAGGAACATTTTGATTTTTATTAAGTATTGCACAACAAATTTTACTTCTCTGCCCTTCCTAATAGTGTTTTAAGAATGAAAAAAATTAAAAAGTTATAATCTGCAAACTTTAGGTCCATTTATCTCAAAAGTAACAAAATGTTACTTACCCCCTTCATCCACTCACCCCTTCAATTATAAAATAAAATTTATTATTTTTCTTAAGTCGACGTGAGGGGCTCTCCGGCTCTCGCACAATGCCAGACTTATTCGCAGAAGAGGTTTACATTGGCTTCTGACTAGGCGCCTGAGACACTCTAGTCTTGGTGCGTGGTGTCACTTTTGATATTGACGCTATTCGGACAGTTTAAAACTCGGACACTTGATATTTCGATTTTTTTTAATAATTTAAAAACTCGGGCAAACGAAAGCTTGGACAGTTGATTTAACCAAATATTATTATTATTTAAACCGTCCTCGGACAGTTGAAAACTCGGGACAACTGATTTTTCTAATATTTTGTAATTTTTAACGAACTCGGACAGTTGAAAACTCAGACAAATGAACCTCACCCGTAGCGTGTGTATGAAAAACATAATTTAGGATTGTAAGAAATTTAATCACCATATTTTGTGTAAAAAGCAGTTTGTTGTTTGTCTTTGTTTGCTTTTGTTGCTGGGAGTTATTTTAAATAAATAATTTCAATGACAAGAGGTTTAACTCTGCTAAAGGCAGCTAACATGTTTGTGAATACATATTGGTTTACTAAAGTAGCTTTATTTGGTCTTTTGGTTGAGTGATAAAAAGGCTTCCCTGATTGAAATATTGGAAATAGTCTTTGTAAAATAGGAAAGGACAAATAAAGGTGTGTTGAGATAAGCTTAGAACTGCTAAATTTGCACCCCGACCCAGTTATTATTTCTGAGTTTAAACTCCTTTTGTAAAGGGTTAACAAGATTAGTGTAGCCGCAGCAAACCTGCAGACTTAGCGAATTTCCATTTGCCTGATTGGATTTACACTAAAATGTCTCCTTAAAAATATCACATTTATTCCCTATTTTTAGTTTTTTGAAATTCAGCCTGCCATTTTCCAAAATGGCGGCCAACTTTGAAATTTCTTATGGAACACCCTATATTTTATCATGTTTTCGGATAGAATATGCAATTTAAAATTTTTTTTATCCCTGACATTTTTTCGATAAACCCACTTGTTTAGGAGTTACAGTCTATGGAAAAATGACTTCCGGTGTACATTTTACATCACGTAGCACCTAAACATGTAGGTTTATAGCGAAAATGTGAGGAGTAAAAAGTCTTAAAATTGCATCCACATTCCAAAAAGACCACAACATTTGTTAAAAATATTAATTATATTTGTTTAATGTGGGGTTAATTAAGAAATTATTTATGGATGAATGTACCTTTGGAATTATGTCGGACGTAGTGAGTGGCAAGGAAGCGCCGCGAGGTCGAGTTGCGATGGTAGGTGGTAGAATGTCCTCAAGACGAAGGCACATCTTCACTTGACACTATCTTCTTATGTTGATGTCTTGATCTTGATGTCGGAATAACGCACGTCTAAAGTCCATAAGGTCCAAAATGAGCGCTCACAAGAAGTTCCTACTCGACCGCGGTAGACCGGAATGGAAGGATTCACTGCTAAAACTGGCTTCACACTGGTTAATAAAATTAATTTAATTTAAAGAGGTGAAAATGTTATGAGTACTGTATAAAGGGGCCACGGACTAATCCGAGTGGCAATAATAGAGAATTAAACTATGAGAGGGAAAGCCGCAATGGCAGAGAAAATGAATTATGTCAAAGTGACATGTGTTAGGTAAACCAGGCTACCGACAGACTCGGCCAAGTGTCCCGAAGCGACGCTAAAACTTCGCAAAAATATCCTTCCGCCAAGTTAACCAATGGGCATTGTGCTGACCCCACTAGGTTCAATAGAAAACCCCTACTCCCTCTCTCTGTCGGCGGCAAATACAAATGCATAAATTAATAGTACAAGAAATAAAAACATTTCCCTGAAAACTTACTTAACAATACTATTTCAAAAATGGCGGTCATTTTCTAAAAGGGCGGCAAACTTGAAAAGTGGAAAACTGTTTATTTTATAGTCTTTATGGAATGTAGATGCAATTCTATGACTAGGCCTAATTTACTTCTTGCAATTTTGCTCTAAACTTACTCGTTTAGGAGCTACATGATGTAAAATGTTACCGGAAGTCATTTTTCCACAGGCTGTAACTCCTAAACGAGTGGGTTTATCGAAAAAATGTCGAAAGTATAAATATAAAAATATAAAATATAGGGTGTTCCATAAGAAATTTCAAAGTTGGCCGCCATTTTGGAAAATGGCGGCTGAATTATAAAATACTAAAATCATTTTTTTAACTGCCACAAAAAATAAAGGAATGTCCCCCATTTAAAGTTTTCTCTAATTCTTACCGTTTCCGATATCCCAATGGTGGCCTCCTTGAGTTGATCACCCTGTAGGCCTATATATGAATTTGAACGGATGGTGTTTTTGGACCTCAAAACAAAAAATTAAATCGGTCCCGGGTCCAGGTGTTACCATGAGTACTACGGTAATAGCTTATTCCCTACATGTATGGGAAATTCGCTAAAAACCTAATAGTTCTATAGAATAATATTACATTCAACCAGCTGTTAGTTAAAACAAATTATATTGGACTAAATCAAATCGATGATTACAAAGATTGCTTTAAAAAATAATTTGAACATCCTACTATTTTACTATGCATATTTAATTAATCTGCCATCATCATACCGAAGAATTGAATGTATCAATGGTCAGCATTACACATAGTATAAATAAGTCAACCCTAAATATGTCTTTAAATTTGTTTCCAAATGCTGAATTTGTGTCACAAATATTCAGCATTTACAGCTGTTATGTTAAGCAAATTGTATTGTACTAAAAGCTAGCTTAGCATGTTAGCGTCGGCTGCTACACTTTTTAAAAATTAAAACCTAATGTCTAAAAAACTGGGACCCTAATTTAAAATTATGGCTTTGACATTCTCTAGTTCTCAAAATTATATTTCTTTTAACACAAAAATCATTAAAATCCGTCGACTGGTTGATTCAGAATCGTGAAACAAAAAACCCATTTACGTTTTTATATATATGATGATGATAGTTTGGACAGGTTTCAACCCTTCCGAGGATGAATATATGTACACAGTTTATGTGTACATTATAACTCATAATATAGTTCTAAAATTAAATGGATCTCCTTTTGCAAACGTATATAATAACCAGAAATTTTGAGATCGTCCTGACCGCAGCGTCAAGGTTATTGTTACCTCTTCTTAGGTAAAATATCTCTCTAACCAGAGTGTACCAAACATTTTTTCAAAAATGTATGAGTAGCATATAATTATTAGCATCAATTTTTCCATTGACAAAACATCTCTGACCAATACGTAAACTGATTCCACGCTTACTAACTATTTCATGCCACAAATTTTGACGAAAGGCTACATTATATTAGAAAAATAAACTATACCTATTTATAGTTATGACCAAACAGTTGGCAAGAAGCATTAATAGATAAGCTATGTACAAAATATGATAATTTTAGCTCTATTCTAATTATGACAAAACACAAAGTAACTAAAAGCGAGTTTTGTTGGTAGTAAGCGTTGCAGGAGGTCTACTTTACACTGAATCGACGTTACTTTTAATTGCTTTTGACCTTCCGGCACTGTTGACTCAGCGAAACTGAACTTGTATTTTATCGTATTTCGTCATATTAAAACTGCTGTTGCATTAGGTCAAATTCCCAATGTGTCAATCGCTTTAACATAGACTACGTTTTTAGCACGGACTGTATTATTTGGCTTTCTGGGATTTTTGATCTACAGACACTGCAAACATTGTACTTTTTGACCTATCGGCACAAGTATAAACTATTTGACCTTCCAGCACTGTTGACTTCCAGCAACATTCCCTATCTGAGCATTCTCCAGCAATGCTTCGAACCACCTTTTTTTTGGAGTAAGGATGTCATTAATTTGTCGAGAGTGTCCCCACAATATAAGACCATATAGCATGTGTGATTGAAAGAGTCCAAAATACGCCAATCTTTAATATTCTTGACTAACAAGATCCTTAAGTTTCCACAGCAAGCACCTCACTCTTGAAATTTTGTTACAAACAGATTGTATGTGTGACCAATTTAATTTTGAATCCAAATTAAATCCTAAAAGTTCAACTGATTCAAATTTTACCTCGGTTTTGAGACTGATTGTTATATATTGTGATTTATCAGAATTACAAGATAGTCTGTTTGCAGAAAACCAATCATATGCTCTATGTTCAGCCTCTTGACTAATTAAGCCAAGGCCACACTAAAAAAACAGGCCGTAATGCTCATCAAGCATGACGTCACGATAGAAGACGGCAATGACGTAATTAAGATTATATTTTTGTTTTCCATAAAAAGATTAAAACAAGCAGCTGATCACAAACTGCAAAAATACGTCATTGCCGTCTTCTATCGTGACGTCATGCTAGACGAGCATTATGGCCTGTTTTTTTAGTGTGGCCTTGATTAAGCGCAGGATTGTTCAATTAGAATGGTTAGCGAGTAAAGTTGTATCATCCGCATATATAACAGTTTCGTAACATTTGTCTATGTAGAATATAATTGAAATGCTTCTAATTTTTTAGCATGTTCAAAATTGAAAGAATTTCGCAAACAAAAATAACTACGTTAGTGGTTGCGAGTGAAAATTCAAACCAACAAAAAAGTATGTACAGTACATGCAAAAAAATCCCAAAAGGTTTTTATTGGCGGAGAGTCTCAGCTTGAAACAATACATAGACCTATATTAATATTTACCCAATTTTTTTCAGGAGTTTACTGAAATAAACATGAATATGTTGCATCAGAGAAAAACTTCAAAAAGAAAACCAAACAGTTTTCAGGCTTCTTCACTTGTTATTGATTTGGAAGATGAAATTCAAGTTAATACTGTTCATTTCTCAAATATTGTCCAAGATGACCCAGATATAATAGTTTTGGATGATAGTACTGTACAAACCAAAAGAAGAAGTATTTGCAGTAGTGTAGTAGATTTAACTGACTTTAATGAAACATTGAAGGATCCAGAAGAGAGAACAGAGGAAGATAGCGATATTATAGTTGTATATAAAAAGAAGACTTTTGTGCCTGAAACAAGACAACCTACGAGAGAAGTAGAACTTTTAAATAATTCGCCAATGAACAACAGAATTAATCGAAGACTTTATCAAAATAATGTTTCGCCGGTAAACTATGGAATAAATAAAAGGCATGATAAAAATATTTTTATGACAGTCAACCAAAGAATTAATCAAAGGTGCGATAAAAACAGTTTTTCACCAGTAAACCACACAATCAATAAGAGACATGATAAAAATAGTTTTTCACCAGTCAACCTCAGAATTAATCATGGACAAGATAAAACCAACGTAAAAACAAAAAAGAGAGGTAGAAGTAGTTCTACAAAATTGAAATCTCCAATTAACTGCTTAACTGGGAAAAAAAGGAAATTGCAAGATATCAGCAATATCAACTTAGGGGCATCAGGGAATACAGCACCAACAGACTTATCAGGTACAGACTTGTCTGGTACCAAAGTATTACCAATGAATACAAACACTTTAAGAAGCGCAATGCCTTTGTTAAAAATTCAGGCTGGGTATACTTGAATTTTGGATAGTTCCCGCGGCAGCCGCTAGGTAGTCTATCGCGAGCGCACGGCCAAGTCAGCTGACTGAGTGAGAGAGAGTGAGACAAAGAATTGTCTTGGAGAGAGAGAGATAGAGTAGCGCAGCTGCCACACGAGCAATCCTAACGGCGGCCGTGCTTAGCTCATCTCAGCGACAAAGTTCGAGTCTGACTACTTTCCAATAAGCATTTCACTTCTTAAAGGGTTTGTATTCATTGGTATTACTTAACCAAAGTAGTTTGGTATGTTGTAATAGAACTTTATTATTAACTTTTTTCTGTCTTTGATCTTAATGACCAACGTTTTTCTTCTGTATACTTTACCGGAATTCACAGCACTTTCAGGGAGCACTAAAACTAATGCATAAATAGTTTGTAGGAGCACTAACACAAAACTCAACTTATGGGGTAATTTTTTTATATTGTTATATACGAAAAGTTTAAGAAACGTTTTGAGCATGTTTGGCTTTATTTATCTCTTAAAATATGCCTAATTAAAAGTTTATTTTTAGCCAAATTGAGGGTTTTTACGGACCCTACTTCTCTCTCAAAGTTTTAATGGTCAAATTTCTGTTAGGGGTACTTTTTCGTTATTTATATTCACGAACGAATCGAGCGACGCGCTTATGTATCGTAACTGCAACAATGGCCGCCGCCTCCTCGGAGTGCTGACGTAGCGGTGGTGGGGTACGGTATAGCAGAGACTCTGGCTCTTGAGTCAGTCTGCGGCAAGCGAGAGGTTGGCGCACACCAATCACTCTTGGGCTCTGTCGAATCCTTCTAATCTTATCCGGACAAAGGCATGCGAAACTCCTATTCGAAAATCAAGTACATAAATATTTTAGAACGTTTTATCCCTCTTTGTATTCACTTTGGCGAGTGAAATTACATTATTTGTTAGGTTATTTTAGATTGTTAAGAACTTAGATTATCCTAGTTTATCGGCTGACACTGCGAGTGTAGTGTCCCAGTAGCCTTCAACATCATATTTTAAGTAGTTTATTTATTTATCTTGGAGCCAAGAAGTGTATTGTCATATAAGCCCAGACTTATTTTATTTTGTTATTTAATTATCGCAGGTTAGCTACATTTCTGTTAAATGTGAGAGGATTATTTTTAGTTTTATTTGAGAAGTAGTGATTTCTTTCGTTAAGCCTAGGAGCTGGCCCCATATTTTAGTTCATATTCCAATAGGCATCATGTTTAGAACCGGCTTGGTCTTTGTCAGTGCGTCGCTGTGCTGACACCGCGTTGTCGCGCGACATAGTCGTAATTAGTGTTCGGTGCGTCGATGTGCCGACGTACACAGTGGTGTACTCGTGTACTGGTAGATCGATGCAATAGCATCTTACGAAGGCAGACGGCAGGAGCGAACGACGTATGAAGCAATAGGTGAGCGAACCCTGGATGTCTCGAGCTGTCCGAGCAAATTGGAGGTAAGTTTAGGCTAGGTAAAACTAACCCGAACCAAACACCTCACAAAGTGGGGGTGATGATTTTAGTTTAAATCAAAAATCCTAATTTTAAAATTCCCTTATTTTAAAGTCCATAAACTTTAGATTGAATGAAAACAAACTAATGTTTTGGATATGAATTTTGCTGGTGTACATTTTGTTCCATTACGTCATTAACCTATCGTAGTCACTCCAACCCCATCAAAAATCCCCTTTTGTGTTTTTGGATTTGTATGATATACCCAAGGTTGGTATATAGGAGGTTGCCTAGATGCCATAAGACGCGTGGAACCTGCAGACGACTCGGGTGTGACGTCACACTCCGACCTCGTGGCCCGCCTCACACCACACAGCATCAAACGTACAAATGCCTAAGTTTAAGCATTTACAGCATCATTATATTGAATTTTAGCCTCCTGATGACAGTTAAATACTATATAATGGTGTAAATACCTGCATTTATGTGATCAATTTGTTGCTAAATTGCAACCGGTTTCGACTCACAAAGGAGTCATCGTCGGGCCAGTACAGATGTCTTCTTGCTTCATTTGAAGGTCGTCAATTCATGATAAATAAATACATTTAACATGCACACGTACACGAACATAAAATCAAACATTTAGGGCTAAAAACAAAAGATAATACAATACGGTAACGGGACACGACGTGATCGGGCGGGGGTTATGTCTAGACTGGGTCAAGTATCATCAAATGCATTAACAATTAAGCTATGTATAAAGCGTTTCAATTATTCTCCATAAGAATAACATTGGGGCTGAGTACACTCGAGGCTCTTAACTCGAGTAAAAGCTGTGAATGCCTCAAAAATCGCCCAACGACTGCGACTCTGACTGCTTTAGGAGCAGACCCATACGATAGACGTCCACGACTACGATACGACTGCGGCTACAGTCGCGTCAGTGACAACGCTGCCATTGAAAACAATGCTAAGCAGGCTCTCTACGATTATCGTTCAACGGCTGTCGTCCAACGACTGCAGTTCCAGCCGCACCAGTGACAACGTACCTTAATCAAACAAATTTTCTCCGTAGAGAATCCTGAAAAGTGGGGTGATATCAACCATTTCATGAGCTCCATTTTTTACCCAAAAACTATGGGTTACCAACTGGACAGCCATAATCTGCTTTGAATAGGGTAAAACAGCAGCACCATTGAAAGTTGGTTAACGTATTTTAATGTGTTGTCTGTCAGCAAAGTATATGCCCCGCATCAGAAAATTCTCACGTTGTTCAGTGGAGTTTCTCTTAATACCTGTCCCAAAGTTTGAAAGTATGGATTCATTTGTCCAAATAGGTTGGATAACTCTTGTAGCTATAAGATTTGGATAGCAATTTTCATTTTCTCTGTTTGAACATCGTATAAAAATAAGCTTGACCGTAACTACTTGATCGCTGAATACATAAACACTAATTCCTTCACTTATGTTAGGTCTAATATTGCCACTAAAACTTTCAATAGTAAATGAGTTTTTGAAACTTCTTATTTTTGACTTGAAATGTGTGGATTGTGTTGGTGAATTCAGTCAATAAACTTTGTATAAGTTTGTCAGAGCAACTGGCAACATAACCTAGAAGTAAACAATCCATTTGCATTTTTTCTCAATTGAAGTAGAGCGAGCAATACAAAAGTTTACAATAAAAACATAAGGTCCGTTAAGATTTGGTATAATCTTACTACTTGAACTAATCATAGTCAAGGCATTAATATAGTTTGTACTAAATGTTTTGAAATATCTCGATCTGTCAGTGTCAGAAGTAAACATTTCTTGCATATGCATTCGTTTGATCTGACATTAGGCAAGTTTAATTTACCACCGTGGCAACACTATGTGCTTCGATTATTTTTTCAATTCCAAAGTAAGTTGGCTGCAGAACTGGCAAATACTATTCATATCACCAAGTGAATGTGTATCTGGATGGGTATCTGTTAGACCAGACCTCTCTTTTTACTCTCCTCATACGCATAAGATATCTTATTAATTGTCTCCTCCTCCCGTTTTCAATATTTCTTCTTTGAACTTGAGGCATTTTCTGTTCTTCCAACAAAACTGATTAACTGTTTAACTTGGTCTTAATAGTATCCCGGCATTCTTTTATAAACATCCTGCATATATGCCTATTTTTTGTATGTTTTGGATTTCTATCATGATTTTCCATAGTTGCATCCAAGCATAATTCTTGTGTTCTAAAAACCACACAGACAACCCCATAGTTATGCATATGTTACATGTTCCTTTAATGTGTTATATTTATAAGAGTTTTGTTTCAGAAAATGCTCATAAATATTACAAAAAACTTGCTCAATTGGCTGTAAAAGAATGTAAAAAGAATAAATCCAGTAATGATTTCATTCCTGTTGTAAACAATTTGAATCGTGCTAGAAAAAGCATAAGTTTTGCCAAAAATAGTAAGAAAATGAAAAAGAAACAAGTACAGTCTGGAAATAAATCTTCACAAAGGTCTCCAGGGAGAAAATTAAGAAAGAAGACCCGACAACAACACATAAGTAAGATAAGTGAAAATAATGCATTTAAAAAGAGTCAAATACAGTCTGGGAATAAATCTTTTAGAAAATTAAGAAAGATGACTCGCCAAGAAACAATTAGTAAGATCAGTGAAATGAATGCATTTAATCCTAATCCATATGAAGTAGATCTGGAAGGGTTACGCCCCATCGTCATTGATGGCTGCAATGTTGCCATAGGGTAAGTTTTAGTTGATCATAATAACTCTAAACTATGAATAGTATATTTCATCACTAGGGCGTAAAGTGACTCTTTTCAACCATTCGAAAATGAGCGAGGGTTGAAGAGACACTTTTTGCCCGTGTGATGAGCTATATTTTTCGTCATATTGCACTATTATTTAGAAAACGACAAAACTTTATGAAAAGCTCTCAAAAGGACGTCTAACTTGTTTTCAATTTAGCTGATGCAAACAAGTAGCTGTTAATAAGTGATCCAATCATTTTGATTATTGCGATTGTGTTAGTGTATATTATACCACTGATATGTCAAACTATTAACAAGAATACAACAATAAGCTACAACCAAATAAAAAGATGGATATTCTCTTGATACATGCAATTGCTTACAATAATTCAAGTTTATAACTGTAGCAACAGCTGACTTTTAATCTCTAGGGACTAGAAATGCCATTTTTTCTCCCTAGGGAGTAAAAGAGCTACTTTAGATCGGCAACGGCTGTTTTTGCTGCAGTATGACAAAAGATATTTTAGTCTAAATTTGGTGATATGATACAAAACTTCATATATTCCTTTAGCTCAGAATAACTTAGTGTTTTTCACTGTTTTAACAAATTTTCTCTGTAAACATAAAATAATGTTTAGTTGCTATTAACTCAATTAGTAAATTAGTACATGGGGACAAGCTTTGCTCGGGGTAAATCATTAGTATACTCTGAGGGCAGTCTTTGGCAATTAATTGTCATTGAACAAAATCTTAAAATCTCTCTCTGCCGAATTACTGAGAGTCTATTGTATGTTTAAACAGTAATATCGTAGTTGCCTTTGTTTATATAAGCAGCATTTATGATTCTTATGTGTTATATACATTTTTTTGTTTTTTTTGTTAATTACGCACCCATTAATCTAAACATTTAAAACGTCTAATAATATGCTAAATATGATAAGCTAAATAATATTTAAATGGTCATAAGATAGGTCATAAAGCAAAGTTAAAGCATTTTTCTAGTCATAAGGGTTTGTTATAAGATATTATAAGAATTTTCATAACAAATACCATTGTCAGAATGCAACACCTCAGTATCTCGATTTTAACCTTCCCGTTTTAGTTTCAAGACTTTGCGGTTCAGTGGTTAGCGTGCTGATTATCGAACCTAAAATGTTTCTAACCTGTATATAAATGGTGTTTTAATAAATAAATTTATTTTACAAAATTATTCCAAAGTTTTTTGGTGGAAGCCCACGCTTCATCTTTTCTACGCAACACAAAGGTCTGATTGGTTATTCATCGTTGTCAAAGTGTACACATAAAGTAATATTTGATATTTTGGCATTTTAGTCATCTGATTCAAATGTTCAGAAATCCTCCTTATCCTACTAATATTATAAGTGAGAAAGTTTGGATGGATGGATGTGAAAAATACTGTCAAAATGTCAGATTGGGCTGAAATTTGGTGTGATGATAGCTCAGATTCCCGATTAACATATAGACACATTCTTATCTGAAAAGTCCTTTTGGGCTCGGCCCCGGTGGCTCTGAAGTTTCCCATTTTAACCTTATGAGTATTCATAATTAAAAGGAATAAAAGAATTTTGTCAGCTGTTTCAACCACAAAATTTGGTTTTTCTAATTTTTGTCCCTCTAAACACAACATTTCTCCATTTCTCTTCAGACCTTTTTAAAGAGCTTCAAAAATGTAACGTGCCGTTTTTCCCGCTCGGAATATATACGCTATTCCGTAGTTATAGCAGGAAAGACGTCACCAACTCTCGCCAGTGGATCGCTCAAATTGGCGTGCTGTGAAGTTTCCAGGGTTCAGATAAAAATAATTTACTTAATTAACTCAACAACCTAGCACAGGTACAGATTTGTATATACGCAAAAATATAGTGTTAATCAGGTGTGAACTCAGTACCGGTAACCAACAACGCTACTGTACCATCATCATCGTTCACACCTGGGAACAGCTAATTAAATTAAATTTTAAAATAATCAAAAACCGTTCAACTAAATTTTGAACAAATTAATGGTGCAGTTTCGTCAACCTCAACACTTAGAATATTTCTTAGGTGAATGCTGGCGTGCCCACCCGACCTCGTGTTTGCACGACCTGCAGGGACGGGTTCAAACTCCGCCCCCAGCAGTTCAACACCAACTGAAATATCTTGGCAAAATATTGGGTAAAACCCTGTCACCCTCAATCTATATTGTAAACGCAATATTAAACGAAATATTTATCCCTAAAAATCTTTATCGCCACCTACGGGAGCCCTAGCATACGCTAAAGCGGAGTTATATAGTTCGAACACCCGACAAAGACCCTACCGTGAGTTTTATGTCTAAAAGAATAAAATGAGGTTAATTGCTAAATAAATGCCTTGACTGAAATAATAAACACTGCTAAGAAAATCGGCGAGTTACCTGTATACTCCAGGGATCTCCACTAAAACACTTAGCGGAGTAAAATCTTGCTAATGGCAAAATCACTAATCACTGACTTGAAACGTCTGATCACCAGTAATCGCAGGATTAGAATGGCCGTCGCATCCCTAGCCCACAAGGGATCTCTTCTCTTTCCCCCTCCCTAATCCTCTAGGGATGGGGAATCAGCTGATTCAATTCCCAGCTGATCGGTGAGGTCACAAGTTCAAACTTGGCGCTGTCACGACTCACAACACAACGCCAAGACAGCCGACTAGTGGTACAGTTTATGTTGTTAATGTTGTTATTTACCTGCGCCGACTTTGAAATTATACGGCGGAACTTAAAGATCGTCGCTGATTTAAACAAAACATATAATTTCCATCCGTGATGTGTCCAACAAAGTGTATGCATGTTATGTACGTGATATCAAATCAAATCAATCAAATCAAAATATCCTTTATTCATTTAAGTACAATTGTACAGGAATAGAGTCAGATCTTACGAAATAAAATGTTTTACATTTAAGAACTAATAATAAGACAGAATATTTATTTTATTTGTTCTCCCAAAACTCTTCAAGAGAATAAGGGGCAATTTTAATCAAATACTGTTTCAGACAATTTTTAAACTTTTTTGTATCATTTTCAGTTAGAAGTATTTTTGGAAGATGGGACATAAATTTATTTCCTGTGAATTTTGTTTTCTTTTTATAAAATTCTAGATTGTGTCTATCAATTTGAGATTGAGAACGAGTGTTATAATTATGACTAATTTTGTTTGATACCTGAGTTTTTGTAATATTTTTTGCATAAATAATAGTTTCCAAGATATATAGTCCATGAACAGTTAGTATTCCAAGATCGGTAAAAATATGTTTTACCGAATCTTTCCTTTCCAAATTAAACATTGCCCTAATTGCCCTTTTCTGGTACGATAAAATCCGTTTTAAGTTTTTTGATGTAGTTGCTCCATATTATATACAGATTCCATAAGCTAAATTAGAATGAACTAAGGCATGATATTGTATTCGTGATCGTGGTTTACCACCCTAGCTTAAACAACAACTTTGACCGTACTTCCCAAAGGTTTATATTAGGCGTGGGGGTTAAATGAAAATAGTTTATCACCTGTTTTGTACATAACAATGCTATTCTGTGACTTGTATAGTTCTAAAACAGTGTCTTTAGTGATTTCGCCAAAAGTGAGGTTATCCCTACTTCAACCCTAGGATAGGCCTAAAACAGCCTATTTACCTTACCATGATGGGTTTACCACCATCACCACCCAGGTAAGGAATATAGGCCTTCTGATAACTAAATAATAAATATTAACCCTTTGCGGTCTCATAGCCATTTTAGAAAAAGTGCCTCTCAACTCGAATGGCCAGCCAGCCCTGCTGGACACGGTTACGTTCTATATCAGCTTGTCATGTTTACACGGCGCAGTGCCTCACAGGTTGTACGGCCAGCACTGCTGGCCACTACTAATTCCCCCGTCAGCTTGTCCGGCCAGTATAGGTGGACATCCAACACACTTTTTTTTTAACATTGTTTAATTCTCCTGTAGGCTGCAGCGCTGAACAGAGATAGTACCTCGATTCAGAGAATATTAAAATTTTAGTTTGTAAGGTCTCCACCTCTGTATTACACCATTTTCACTTTAAAATAACCTCAACTGTCAGTCTGTTGTTGTCATGTGAAACTGTGATGTGAGATTACATTTACCAGGATAAAATATTATTAATTGTGTAACTGTAGAATGACTAGAAAAGGTTTTTGGATTAATCTGTTGATATAAGAAATGAACTAGTTCATGGCCTAGTTTCATATGGAAAGGGAAATTGTACATAGTTTCCATAGCAACAGTAGTTCTTTTGAAGATTTTAAAAATTAAATATTTTATTGTGTATGAACTTAAGCAGTAAACTTTGAATTTAGTTTTATTTCTTTTTTCATTAGATTTCAATAAAATATAAAAATGTTAGACTTATTTGAATTAATTTTTTAGTTTCAATGTGTAAAACCTTAGCCCTTACCATAATTGACAAAAACTAAATACTTGATACAAGCTGGTGTAGCTGGGTTGGCAGAATAGTGACCGACCAAACAGAGAAACTACAATGGCCAGTAGTGCTGGCTGTACGACCTTAGAGCCACGGTGCTGCGTAAACAATGACAAGCTGACTCAGAAACAGCTGAGGCCAGCACTGCTGGCCATTCGAGGGCAAAGGCATCGATATATAACAAATATGGATCGCGCGCTGCATGTGTTGCTTGAGCCGAAACGCGGTCCAGCACTGTCAGACACCCCCCACTACTTTACGGACACTGCCACTACTGTCAGTATAGCTGTACAGTGGAAGTGCGTGGTTTTATTTTTTCGTAGTAGTATTTCGTTGACGTGATGTACTTCGATCATGCCAGAATCGTGTTCTGCATTCAATTACACAAGCAGAAGAAGTAAGAACAGTTCAATTTCGTACGAAAGAAAATCTCATACGTGATTCAGAAATGTTGAACGAGTGCATGGAATACCGGTACTTTCAGACTTTGAAAATTGAAAATGTTTCAATTTTG